AAAAAGATCGCGGCAAGGGCCTCGCCGGCTGACGAATCTCGTAAATGCATCCAGGAAAGCTTGCGACGAGAGGTCATCGACAACCTCAATATGCACCGCCTTGGTTGCCATGCAAACAAAAATGGCTAAATATGTCTTTACCTTGGTGCGTGACCGTTTGGCGCCAACGCGCACCGTAAACGGACCGCAATAGTCGACCCCTGAAGACACAAACGCCCGTGAAGTACTGATACGTTGTCTTGGTAATGATGCCATTTGCTGCGAAAGAGTCACGCCACGGTGTCGGCGGCAGATAACACACTTCTGTCCGTAACTTCGAACGGCTTGTCTACCATTCAATATCCAATAACGCGAGCGTAGAGTTTGGAGTACCAGTTGCGGTCCACCATGAAGCGTTGTTTCATGTGCATGTCTGATTATCAGCTCGACTAGTCTACCGTGTTTAGGTAAGATTATGGGGAACCGCCTATCTTCTGGCAGATCAGCCTTACTGATGCGGCCTCCGACGCGCAGAACGCCTGTGTCATCCATGTATGGATTCAATGACTTTAGCTTGCTGGAACTAGATACGCCAGTTCCTTTTCGGATTTGGGCCAAATCAACTGCAAAGTTCTCGTGTTGCTCATTTCGAATCAGTATATTAAGAGCGTTGTCGATTTCTGTTGGGCTGACTACCAATGTACGCAAATGCCGCCGTGTTGGAAGCCAACGTAGAAGAAGTGCTGCCGTACGCACGAGTGGCAGAAGTGAACTGAAGCGCTCACTCAACGGAATCATCTGGCCATCACGTCGACGAGTAGTGAGAGCTGGCTGATGGGTTGTTGTCGCTACGAAGGAGGAAACTCTTTGTTCGCTTTGCAGAATATTGTGCTCCTCGTCGTTTAATTCAATCACAGAGAAGTTGGGTGTATGCTTATCCATAATCCATCCTGGGCCCTGCCACCACAGTGGATGATCCAGCAGCTGCGATGCCCGAATACCTCTACTGGCGCAATCTGCCGGATTCTGAGCTGATCTTACATAATGCCAACAGTTTGGTGAGGTTAACTCATGTATTTGATGCACCCGGTTCGACACAAACGGCTTTAGAGTAGTGGGCGGCTTGCGTAGCCAACACAACACAATCCGAGAATCAGACCAGAGGTAATAAGGAGTATCTGTTAATCTCAAGGAAATACGTACGTTTTCGAGGGTAACAGCGAGCAAATGTGCGGCACAAAGCTCCAGACGCGGGATCGTTGCTCCTTTAAGGGGCGCCACCTTGGTACGAGCCGTAAGCAGTGATACAGCTGAATGACCTTCCGCATCTGTGGCTCTAATATATATTACAGCTGCATACGCGAGCGTACTGGCATCGCAAAATCCTAGCAGGGTAGTAGCTCTTCCTTCAGCCATACCTAGCCATCGCGGAATCCGGATTTTGTTTATTACGTCGAGTTCGCTGTAAAAGGCTACCCAGGTGGTTTGAAGTTCATCTGGCAGTGGTTCGTCCCACGACAAGCCAGCCGCCCACAACCTTTGTATGAATATTTTTCCAGTAATAACAACTGGTGCCAGTATGCCGGTAGGGTCGAATAATTTTGCGACGGCACTTAGTACCCGTCGCTTCGTTAGGAAGCCTGAGCTCTCTTTCAGATCTACCTTGAAAAAATAGCTCATCTGCTGCTGCATCCCATCGAAGCCCAAGTACAGTTGCTGTTGGTGATTCGATGGTCATCTCTACGTTAGGAGAACGGTTGCCAATCAAGCGTGCTAATACTTCACCACTATTGGAATTCCATTTACGTAAATGGAAGTGGCCTTCAGACAATATGGAAGTCACGTTGAATGCAAGTTCAGTTGCATTTTCTTCAGTGTCACAGCTGGTAAGAAAATCGTCGACATAAAAAGACGACAAGATCGCATCGCGTGCCGCTATCGATTGTTGACTATCAGCGACCACTTTGTAGTTGTCGTATGCGCATTGGTTGAGTGCGCGGACCGCGTTGTAGGGACTGCTAGCCATACCATAAGTCACCGTTGTAAGGCGGTATATAGTGATGTCATCGGTTGGGGACTCTCTCCAAATAATGCGCTGAAAATCTCTATGCTCGGGTTTAACAAGTACCTGTCGAAACATCTTCTCAACATCGGCAGACAATGCGATGCGAAAGCGGCGAAAGCGAAATATTATGTTAAGTAGCGGATCTTGTATTGTCGTTCCTACCAGCTGAACTTAGTTCAGGGAGACGCCGGTTGTAGTTCTCGCCGAGGCATTGAACACAACGCGAAACTTCCCCAAAACTGCATGATGCGGGATATAAAAGCCCGTTTCATTATCGTTCAATGAGTATGCGCGCTCCATATGGCCTAGGTCTGCATATTCGCGCATAAAAGCAATGTATTTCTCCCGGAGTTCACTATTTGCTGCCAGTCGCCTCTCAAGAAGGTAAAACTGTCGTAATGCATGAGTATAAGAATCTCCCAAAGCCGGCGCATCAGGACGAAATGGTATGCATACAACGTAGCGTCCGTCAGGTGTGCGAGAGTGGGTGTTACAAAAAAATTCGTTCGCATTCGGCATCTCCATCATATTCTAGGGAGGGCACTTCCTCTAACTTCCAAAAACTTCGGAGCAGTTCCTCCAAGTGTATGTCCTCGTCGCATAGCTGCGTACTTAATGCGAGAGTTGGCAACGTTGAAGGTTGTGCTGCAGAAACTGGGCCAAATATGACCCACCCGAAAGCAGTGCGTTGAGCGTGCGGCTCACAAGGACCGCCAAATTTGAAGTCAGTTTCGACAACTTGACCCCATACGTCAGCACCAATTAGCACGTCGATATTACCGGGAACGCCGAATTGTGCATCCGCTAATTGTATGCTGGACAAGTGCTTCCACTGTGTCATGTCAATATACGTTGCGGGGATGACCGTAGTAATTGACGGAATGACAAGCGCAGTTATCTTCAGCGTAAAACTAGTATGGGCAGATTCTAATGTGAGCGAGACGCTACCACGAGCGCGAGCGGAAGAATGGGCACAAATTCCTTGGACAGGGATATCACATTTACGTCTACGAAGAGATAAAGAATTAGCTAACTTATCTGTAACAAAACTGACCTGCGATCCCGGGTCACAGAGCATGCGCGCCATGCGTCGAGTCGTTGGGTCACCGTATGCATAAACGCGTGCTGTCGCTAATAAAACTGTGTGATGCGCATTGGTATGGCAGGTGACCGCCGAAGCTTCTAGTCAGATGGACTGATCCTTGTTCATGGGAACCGGTTGAGTGGTTGTCGCGGTCAGCCCTCCTGCGTTCGTAGATAAAGTTTCCCGACAAAGCAATGAGTTGTGCTTCCGATTGCAATGTCGGCAAAGACCCGAAGGGCACTGCTTAGCTGAATGTCCCAATTTTAGGCAATTGAAACAAAGCCTAGCGGCTTTAAGGGCATTTACACGTTCTTCGTGGTTCATTGCAAGAAAACGGGTGCACTTTGTAGTGCGATGCGGTCCTTGACAGTATGCGCATTTTCCTTCTTCTGCAGCTGCGACGTGGGATTTTACAGTACGTTGTGAACTAGTGCGCTGTTGCCCTCGAGATGTAGCGTCGGTCCTGCTGGACCACGTGACAATGGCTGTGGAGAGGCTGTGGGCGCGTTGGCTCAAAAATGACAGTAGCTCATCTAACTTCGGAATTTCGGTAGGCGAACAACTCATGTTCCATTCACGCTGAGTGACAGTTGGAAGCTTAGAAACTATTATGGGAACAAGCATAGCATCCCACTCTACGACTGGCAGCCCCATCACCCGTAACGAACGCAGTGACTCCTGCACTGTATCGACGATGGCCAATAATGATTCTGATGAGTCCTCTGACGATGGCTTAATGTTAAGAAGACGGGACACATGTGTTTCGGCTAACTGCTTCTTATTGTCAAAGCGCTCCTTCAGAGCACTCCATAATTCGCCATAGCCGCCCGAGTATACACTTCCCACGAGTGGCACTGCATGTGAGCTAACTGCCTGTCGCAACTTCCCCAATTTGTAGGCCTCAGGATACTCGGTGTTGTGCACGAGTAATTCAAATGCGTCCTTAAATGCTAACCAGGTTTGCATCGTACCGTCGAACGTTGGAATGGCGAGTGGCTCCAACCTAAACTCACATTCATGCGAATGCTGCCTTCCGGCTTGTACGTTTGGCTTCGCACCTGTAATCGCGCGGTTGAGAATGCAACAAGTGTCGTTGTATATATCTTCCACTTCTTCCCAGAGCGTTTCATGAGCCTCAACCTCGCCCTTTTCCGCACTGGCCACCAATAGCTCATGGTTAGCCACAAATCGCGCAAAGTGGCTTGAAACCGATTTCAATTCTTGCTCTAATTGGAATTCGTCATAGGAGCCAAGTTTACTCGCTTGCACTCGTTCATATATGCGTTTAATTGCTTTTATAGCCGACGCACGCAACCTTAATTCCGCCATTACCGAAAACTTAATAACTTTAAATTTAATGCAATTTGTCCTCACAGGAGGCACCAAAATGTTCTGTACAAAGCTTAATAAAACACGTTATTTCTCAACACGATTAGAAACACTTCTATTTTATTTT